TTGGAAAAGAGACGAGAACTCACCTTGCTATTAATTATATGTAAACTAGGATACAATATATTTTTTGCTATTTTTTTGGGTTTATTCCAGCCAGTTTTGAAGAGCTATCTAAGCGCGCTAAGACCTATGATGTGTAGTGTGAAATGGTACTCATATGCATTTGTATAGTGCATACAGAGTAGTTCAAACTGGAATTAATTTTGAAAAGATGGAAACTCACCCTGGCTTTTCTTTTTAATTTCTGCTATTAGGCAAGACAAGTTTTTGAATGTCAGGCTATTAAGTTAATATTCTGAGCAAACAATTGCCCTTACAAATGAGATGGGCCTGTTCTAAAAGATGTCAGCCTTAACCCCACGGGAAAAGCTGCTTAAGAGTATGCAGAACATTATCATTTATTGAGACAGCACCTTCTAAAAAGAGTAGCAGCACTGCTACGTTATGAGATCTAAAAAAACTGTTGGAAGATCCATTATTTGTGAAACACAGCATACTCTTAATATACCCTTCTTTCCCTGGCTGACATCTAATCAAATTTCTTATTTCATTTCGAATGGCCGTCTGGGAAGAAAACAGCCTGAAGAACTGTAAATGCTGACACTTTCCAAATTAGTGTTTGGAAATTTATTACCAACTGGGCTTTGTGACTTCCTGTAAGTTCCTAGGACCTTATATCTTATCCAGAAGAGTTTTAGTCATTCGGATCAGTAACCGTTTAAATGAAAGAATGCGTCCAAAGTCAACAGATGGCAGTGCATTGAAGTATGCAGATTCAGGACCATGGGCAGCACCATCCAGCTTCTGCTTCAAGATGAGTGAGACCTTCAAAAGTAGTTTTGAATTAGAATTAGAATCACAGGATTGGAAGGGACCTTGTGGGCCATCTAGCCCAACCTCCCACACAAGCATCTAGCTTGTGCTTCAAGATGAGTGAGACCTTCAAAATGGTCCTAAGTCCCCTTTGAACAGTCACTAAATGAACTGTTGTAAGTCAAGGACTCCCTTTAGTTCTATTCCCTTAGTATATTTCCAACTTGTGCATTCTCTGGTTGGCCAAGGTGGCCCAGCTGGTTTTCATGGCTAAGATGGGACTAGAACTCCCAGTCTCCTAGTGATTGGCCCTAAGTCACCCAGCTGGCTTTCACGCCTAAGGCGGAACTAGAACTCACCATCCCCTAGTGATTGGCCCTAGGTCACCCAGCTGGCTTTCATGCCTAAGGCGGAACTAGAACTCACCATCTCCTAGTGATTGGCCCTAAGTCACCCAGCTGGCTTTCATGGTTAAGGTGGGACTAGAATTCACAGTCTCCAGTTTTCTAACCTGGTTGTCTTAACCACTAGACTAGGCTTTTAAAATAGAACAGCCATGGGAGTGAACAGTGTGTGGATCTTTAGAGTTTCTAAGTCTTGTAGGACTATAAATCCCCTCCCTTTTACCATTTGTGCATGGTGCCCTCTCTTTAGGATTTAAGGGATCGGTTGCAGGAACCCCGGTGAAGGCTTCCACCTGCGAGGTCCTAGTTCTACACACGATTTTCACGCCTGCGGTCATGAATTACTCAAAGCCCATCTTCCTGAGCCCGATCCGTCCCTCTAATACTTCAAATGCTACTTGGCTATTCAGAAAGGCAACGCTGCTTCGCGGGGTTCCAGTCTTCAAATTAAAGATTAGCAGCCTGAGCGTTCAATTTGCCCCGCCTCTCCCCAACTCTCGGGGAGGATTTTCACTAGTTCTTTATAAGCCTCGACGTTTTATCAAGTGGACCAAGAGGAGCCAGCAGCACACTGGCATTTTGAAGGTAGCCCCGGGGACAGGTGTAAGCGAAAGCAGAACTTCAAAAGGGAACACAGTCGGCCTGCTGGCTTTAATTAAAAAGCTCAAAGGGGTTGCGCTAAGCCGGTACGGCACGCCTACATCACCCTGACTGTCACATCCGCCGGGAAGAAAAATATTAATCCAGATCCAATCAACCTAGAAGAAAAGAACAGCGCTGCCCCCAAGAACCCTCCTGGACTACTTCACACCAAGAATTTCAAAAAAGCCAGACATGCTGAAAGAGGGGGAGGGGGTTAAAAAAAAAGGGGGGGAGGAATTATGCCTTGCAAACCACAAAACAAGAAAAGTCATTCGGCTGTGTGGCATGGAAATGACAGGACCAGCCATACCAATAATGAAAACCGAGGGCTGTGGCTGTTAAAAAAAAAAGTCAATGTAGCCCTGGGCTGTATCAACAGAAGGGTAGCTTCAAGATCACAAGAAGTAATAATATCTCTTTATGCCGCACTAGTGAAGCCATGGAGTTAGAATATTATGTACTGTTCTGGTCACCACGATACAAAAAAGATGCTGAGCCCCTAGAAAGAGTGCAGAGAAAAGCAACAAAGATGATTAGGGGGCTGGAGGCTAAATTGAACGATGAACGGTTGAGGGACCTAGCTATGGATAGTAGCCTATCAAAGAGAAGGATTAGAGAGGACACGGTACCTATCTTCCAGTACTTGAGGGGCTGTCACAAAGAAGAGGGGATTGGCTTATTCTCCAAAACTCCAGAGGGCAGGACAAGAAGTAATGGATGGAAGTTCATTAAAGAAAGATCCAGCCTAGAACTACGGAGAAATTTCTTGACAGTGAGAACAATGAATCAGCGGAACTTCCAGAAGCTCCATTACTGGAGGTTTTTAAGAGGAGACTGGACAGCCATTTGTCTGGGATGGTATAATATGTCCTGCTTGAGCAGGGGTTGGACTAGAAGACCTCCAAGGTCCCTTCCAAATATTTTGGAATGGAATGGAATAGAATAATAGAATAGAATAGAATAGAATAGAATAGAATAGAATAGAATAGAATAGAATAGAATAGAATAGAATAGAAGTAGAGGAAGAATAGAATAGTATAGAGTAGAATAGAATAGAATAGAATAGAATAGAATAGAATAGAATAGAATAGAATAGAATAGAATAGAATAGAATAGAATAGAATAGAATAGAATAGAATAATAGGAATAGAATAGAATAGAATAGAATAGAATAGAATAGCACCTTGGAGGTCTTCTAGTCCAGCCCCCTGCTCAAGTAGGAGAACCTATACCATTTCAGATAAGTCTAATCTAGTCTCTTCTTTAAAACCTCCAGTGATGGAGCGCCCACGATTTCTGAAGGCACGATTTCTGGTTAATTGTCCTCCCTGTTAGGAAGTTTCTCCTTAATTCCAGGTTGTTTCTCTCCTTGATCAGTTTCCAACCGTTGTTTCTTGTCCTGCCCTCTAGGTGCTTTGCAGAATAATTTTATTCTATGTTCTAAGCGTAGTGATTAGAACCATCAAGAAATGCTGGCTCTTTTATGAATGAGTCACCACCATTGTCCTTCACCAGCCAGAGGCGCACCTTCCATACATACATAGGTAAAGTGCTTGCCCACATCTAACCAAAATGGAAGTGACTCTTTCAACATAATAACAGACAGTGACCTTCCTTTTCAAGAGAGCGGATGTGATCTGGCACCCGCTGAAGCTTTCAGAAGCTGCTACATTATCAGTTAACGCAACAAAAGGGACAGTTCAGAGTTTAAATTCAGCATAAGTAAACGGGCAAGGCTGTTATAAATGGTTGCAGCAAAACCAGGAGCTAATCCTAAAAAAAAAAAAAAAAAATAAGAAAGGAAGGAAGGAAGGACGGAAGCAAGCAAGGAAGGAAGCAAAGCAGTGACTGTTCAAAGGACCACAAAATCTTCTTATTCTAAGACAGGGAGGGGAAAAAAATCAAATCAAGAACAAAGCGATGGCAGCCCTTTTATGAAGAAAGAAATAAATAAGTCAGAGAGATCAGTAAGTAGTCAAAGGACAAAGTGTTTGACTGTAAGAAAGCACACGAGGGAGATACAAAAATAGCAGCAGATCCCCGGGCATCCAAAGAAACTGACAATTTCCAGTAACACCACCACACATTCTGCCCTGTTCCCAGGAGTGTCTACTTATAATTTGATGTTATTGTCCTCAGAGTTAGCTTTGTCTTCTTCTTCAAGATAAAGAAATATGTGGAGTCTGACTGGGCTTCAGAGCAATGCAGGACTGCTCTTTACAATGGGGTGTAGTTTTCATCCGCTGTGAGTAATCTTTCTTTGAGAGTAAACTTCAGTTAAAGGACAATCACACTCGCAACAAAATAAAAGACTGTGGAGCATGACAATCACACTCGCAACTAAATACAAGACTGTGGCGCATGGAATCACCAACCGTTCAACTTGAAAGGATTCCCCCTTCTCTCGTGTCAGGCCCCAGGAACAACAAAGAAACACGGAGTTACTTCTTCGGAGCAGCGTCCTTTATTGTTCTTCACCTACAGACAGAATCTTGCCAGACTAAAGCAAGTTGCCATCGGCTTATAATCACAATTGGGACTGGAATCCTGGTTTGTAAGTCATTGTGGTTATAAGATGAGGCACCACGTAACCAGATCCAACTTTTTCAACCAATTTTTACAGCAGTTGTTACGTGAATCTCATGGCCGTTGAGTCCCAATCCACTCCCCAAATAGGTATTTTGTATTAGGTCTTCTAGACCAACATCCTGCTCAAGCAGGAGACCGTATCCCATTCCAGACAAATGGCTGTCCAATCTCTTCTTCATGTCTAAGGGACATTATTCCATGTCCCTTAGGGAGCTCATTTTCCACCAGCAGGAAGAGCCCCCTCAAAGCTAATGAACCAAATTCAAATCATCATCAAGTTTTAAGACAGGATCCAACACCTTTTGACCACTGAAGATAGAGCATTGGTCAACTCACTTCAAGTCAAAGGACTTGAAGGGGCCCTTATCTTTGGGATTGTCGCTGTAAAAAAAATCAAACTGATGCAAGCAAAGAAATTCACGTCACAGTTAGGTGACAAGGGCAGGTGACAAGGCTAGGGCTGAGGGTGGCGATGACCAAACCAACAGAGAAAAGCTCATTTCATCAGATCTTCCCTGAGCATCAATCCATGAAGACAAGGAGCACAGAACTCACCCTCATACCGAGTTCAATGTTTTCTCCTCCATAAACTTCCATGCCAGGATCGAGCAGGCCAATCTCTCCGAAGTATTCTCTATCCACCACAAACGAACACCCAATCATGGCCGGCGTCCTGTTGAGTCAGAGAGGAAACCAGAGCAAGAGAAGAAGCCATTAAAATGAGGAAGAGCATGCAAAGACTTCATCAGAAAGTCCAAATCTAACCTCCAAAGTTTTGGAAACAGTTAATTAAACTATGACCGTCAATTCATGAAGGCAAATATGTCAAGCTTCATAAAGAACCACTAACTCATCCCAGACTTTAAATTCACCAGTCCTTGATCCATACCTATAGAATAGAGTAGAGTAGAGTAGAGTAGAGTAGAGTAGAGTAGAGTAGAGTAGAGTAGAATAGAATAGAACAGAATATGGAATGCATAGAATAGAATAGAATAGAATAGAATAGAATAGAATAGAATAGAATAGAATAGAATAGAATAGAATAGAATAGAATAGAATATTAGAATATTAGAATAGAATAGAATAGAATAGAATAGAATAGAATAGAATAAAATAGAATAGAATAGAATAGAATAGAATAGAATAGAATAGAAATCATGGAATGGAATGGAGTGGAGTGGAGTGGAGTGGAATGGAATAGAGTAGAGTAGAGTAGAGTAGAGTAGAGTAGAGTAGAATAGAATAGAATAGAATAGAATAGAATAGTTGGAAGGGACTTCGTAGGTCATCTAGTACAATCCCCCACCCAAGCAGAAGACCCTACACCATTTCTGACAGATGGCCGTCCAGTCTCTTCTTGAAAGCTTCCGGTGATGAAGCTCCCACAACTTCTGAAGGCAATCTGTTCCATGGATTGATTGATCTCACTGACAGAAAATGTCTCCTTATTTTTAGTTTGAATCTCTCCTTGATCAGTTTCCATCAGTTATTCTAAGATCGTTACAGCCTTAGAAGGCTATTACTGTACCTCCTATTTTCTTGATGGTCGAGTTTACTGTTTATTAGGCCCTGGCTGTAAAACCTCCATTAATGGGATTTTAATACTGCTTCCCCCAAAAAGATACATAAAAAGAAAGGAAACCCTTTCCCTACCAGGGAGGCATCAAGCAGTCTAATCAATCTGTCTTTAATCAAAATAATAACAACCATCATTACGGCCGTGCTATAGACAGCTGATAAATTGAATCAGCAAAACCCCTGCCAGGTTTATTGCCGTTCATAATGACTTCCTTTTCATTATTAGCCAGCAAAATTCTAAAATCATTGATTTCACACTGTGGACCACTCACAAAATAGCTTTCTATCAAGGACGCAGACCATTGGAGGCAAAATCTGAGATGCCGAACGCAACATGGCCCCTCCATGGTGGCTGGTCAGGATTAACTAGCAAAAGGCATTTCCATTATATTCCTTGCACTGTTACAACAGCCAACGTTCAACAACAAGGCAACTGGAAGAGACAGTTTGGTCTAGTGGGGAAGGCACCAGCCTAGAAAGCAAGAGACCGTGAGTTCAAGTCCTGCCTAAGCCATGAAAGCCGGCTGGGTGATTTTTGAGCTGGCCCCTTTCTTTCAGCCCAACCCACCTCACAAGGTTGGGGAAAACAGGAGGAGGAAGGTGTGTTGGATAGGTTCACCATCTTGACTTTTTTTAAGAGCCATAGTGGCGCAGTGGTTAGAATGCAGTACTGCAGGCTCCTTCTGCTGACTGCCAGCTGTCTGCAGTTCGACAGTTTGATTCTCGGCGACTCAAGGTTGACTCAGCCTTCCATCCTTCCGAGGTCGGTAAAATGAGGACCCAGATTGTTGGGGACAAAATGCTGACTCTGTAAACCGCTTAGAGAGGGCCCTAGAGCACGGTGAAGTGGTACATAAGTCTAAGTGCTACTGCTCTACCTTTTTTCCTTCCTTCCTTCCTTCCTTCCTTCCTTCCTTCCTTCCTTCCTTCCTTCCTTCCTTCCTTCCTTCCTTCCTTCCTTCCCCAGTGGTTAGAATGCAGCATTGAAGGCTGATTCTGCCCACTGCCAGCAGTTCGATCTTGACCGGCTCAAGGTTGACTCAGCCTTCCATCCTTCCGAGGTCGGTAAAATGAGGACCCAGATTGTTGGGGACAAAATGCTGACTCTGTAAACTGCTTAGAGAGGGCCATAGAGCACGGTGAAGTGGTACATAAGTCTAAGTGCTACTGCTCTACCTTTTTCCCTTTTTTCCTTCCTTCCTTCCTTCCTTCCTTTCTTCCTTCCTTCCTCCCTCCCTCCCTACCTCCCTCCTCCCTCCCTTCTTTCCTGCACAGTGGCTAGAATGCTCACTCCAGGAGTTTAATCCTGACCAGCTCAGGGTTGACTCAACCTTCCATCCTTCCAAGGTCGGTAAAATGAGGACCCAGATTGTTGAGGGCAAAATGCTGACTCTGTAAACCACTTAGAGAGGGCTTTAAAGCACTGTGAAGCAGTATATAAGTGCTATTGCTATTATTTGTAAAAAATAATAAAGATGGGATATAAATTAACAAATAAATAATAAAAGAAACTGGGATGAGGCAGCTGGTCCAACTAAAAGCAAACAAGTATAAACAGACGCTAACAGATACCAGAAACATTCATATTCCCCAGGGGCTCAGATAAGAGGAAAGCCAGAAAAAAAAAATCTGGCTTCAAAGGGAGTAAAAAATAAATGAATTTCCAGCCCTCCTTTCCAGCTGCAGATTTCCACAGATTAAGGTCACGTTCACAGGCTGGGAATTCCTCACGTCAGGCAGGCTTTGACAGCAACAGAGACAGCTGCATTCAACCAGACTGGACCGTCTTGGCAGACCAATATTGTCAATTTGAAGTGCCAAATCCTCCACAGGGTTTCTTCCATCCACTGCAGTTTAACCCTTTCCACTGGAGAGGTTGGAGTGAGAAGCTCAGGCCACAGCAAAAAAAGGGAGGAGGAAAAGAAATTGGCTGGTTTTCTAAATAACATAAAAGTAGGTAGGTAGGTAGGTAGGTAGAGATAACATTGATAGGATGGATGGATGGATGGATGGATGGAGAGAGAGAGAGAGAGAGAGAGAGAGAGAGAGAGAGAGAGAGAGAGAGAGAGAGAGAGAGAGAGAGATCAGAGATGGATGGATGGAGAGAGAGATGTCAGAGAGAGAGAGGGGGGGGGAGAGAGGTGGATGGAATGATGGATTGATGGGTGGATAAATAGCCAGAGAGGTGGATGGATGGATGGATGGATGGATGGAGAGAGAAATGAGAGAGATAGAGAGAAATGAGAGAGATGGATGGATGGATGGATGGATGGATGAATAGATAGATAGATAGATAGATAGATAGATAGATAGATAGATAGATAGATAGATAGATAGATAGATAGATAGATAGATAGATAGATAGATAGACAGACAGACAGACAGACAGACAGACAGACAGATAGAGATAGGTAGGTCGGTAGGTAGGTCGGTAGGTAGGTAGATAGATAGATAGATAGATAGATAGATAGATAGATAGATAGATAGATAGATAGATAGATAGATAGATAGATAGATAGATGATTTCTATGTGTCTTGTGTGCTCTGGCTGATCACATCTTCAGGACTTCTTAGTTCTTCTGGACTCTGAATCGACTACAGCCAGCCTGGTTTTGATGACTGATCTCATCTCTTTCCCTGCGCTAATTTAATCTGACATTCCAGCAGGGAGGAAACATCAGCCTTGCCATCTGTCTCTTTTATTATTTCAGCAGATGTATGGTTTGCATTTCCCAGGTGACTTGAGTGACAAGGAGAAAGAGAGAGAGACAGAGAGAGACAGAGACAGAGAGGGGGGGGGAGAGAGGGACAGAGAGAGGGGGGGAGAGAGAGAGAGAGAGA